GACTCAGAAAACACAGCACCTAATACATACTGCATGGTAAGAAGTTCAGAAACAAAATGGAAATAGAGCCCAGGATAGAATCAGGAAAGTTTGCCTGTGCTCCGGCAAAGGATTCGCACAAAGATTTGAAAGTTTCTAGCTTGAGGGCCATTCTTCAGATTTCTTAAGGTATTTTTCCTCTAGAAAATAATGAAATGCTGACATGGAACAATATGTGTTTTGCAACACGTTAGTGTACTGACCTTCTCAAGTGGGGATAGGAGGAAAAAGCCTCACTGTGGAAGAACAGCCAATGGTCTGAGAATAGTCTGAAATGCCAACTTCGCATTTTTGCACTTCAAAAACATCTTCGACTTTTATAAGCAGGCGTGATGGTAAAATTGAGGCTGTTAAAAATACATGGTTTGCTTTGGTAGTTTATAATTCACAGCAGCATTTAGTGGGTGGAGTTGTAAATTAGTAAGTGGATTGCTGCCACAGCAGAGTATGCTGCTACGCTGCAAAAAATAAACTTTACTAAGAATAGGAATGTGGTCACCGTGATAATGAACAAGAGCTTAGCGTGCCTGAAATGGTGATGGGAGATCTGGAGGTGGTTGCTGGATGTGCAACAGCTGCTTTAGAAATTAGATGTTATCAAAGATTTTTGAAAGATTAAATTGGATGAAGAGCATAGAAAGCTTAACCAATAAGGCTTGGTTAGAATTTTTGGTTGTACCACCAAAAGGAATAATAGCATATGAAATAGTGTGTTATTAAATTGGAAGGTACAGTTTTACAGACAAAAAATGCCATATTTATTCTGCCATAATAGGGAGGCAAGATGGCAGCAGAGTCTCTACGCATTAAACCATCCTTTTTTCTATCACTTCTCAGTGAAGTGAATTAATCAGCTATAAAAGTAACATGATATGGTAATCAGATATTTGATCTGTTCTGTCAAAAAGTAATTTGATACAGTAATCAGATCTGTTCTGTCAAACACCCAAACCAAAAAGGCCTGTTTATGTATCAGTTACTTCAAAAAAAAAAAAAAAAAAAAAAAAGAAAAGAAATAATATCGATCTTAATGCAGAGCTTTAAAGACACTAACTTTCTCTGGGGCAGGGAATGATTTACCTATTGCTTGCTTGTACTATTTGTAGCTGCAAAAGGTTGCAAGCCAATAGCTTTACATCAGGAATTCAGCGTGAAAGGTGCAGATAAATGGGCATGGAAATATAAAACATACTCTACCTTCAAATATTTGGAAGCTGTACCACTGAGTGACAGCTGCAGTATGAGTAGTGTTCAACCATGAGTTCACAAGAAAATACGCTGAACCCAAACGCACATCAGGGTGACCTGTGTGACTACAGTAAATTCACAGTTTTGACTGCTTGAATTCCCTGTCAGTGAACATCATCATCGTACTCCCACTCCTCTCGCCTTCACATGCATGGCCTATGTCAGCCTAAAACAATCTGCAGGAAGCTTTTCAACAAAAGTAAAGAGAAAACTGCAAGAGATCACTGTGTCCACTTCATGCCCTGGCACAACCCTTTCCTACGGGGCCCTGCTTTGATCACTGTTTGTGCTGGCCAGCTCCAAGCCTCCCAGCAGAGTAGGGGTTGTACACAGATGTTGCGCTGCAAACAGCTTGTCAGCAGAAGAGGCTGGGTCACTTTTCCTGTAGGAAGATACCAACAAAGTAATTTTGTCACAAAAGGTCTAACCTCGCTCCTTTCCAAGGCAGAGTGTTGGGCATTGTTCTAACAGCAGACACTTGGAGCTGCACATTAACAGTCCCTATATATTTATTTATTGTTCTCAAAAATCCAAGTGTTGGTTTTATTCACCATCAGTCAGATAAAAAGACTATTCAAAAGACATTTTGTGCCAGCAACCTATCACTCTGCAGTGATGAGCTGTCCACGTGGAGCTACCAATCATCCAGTGATCGCTACAACTTCTGCACAGGAACTCCTCAAGGAGGCAGGTATCCAGAGAGAAATAGCTGAGTTTCTGTTTTGCTGGAAGGAGTCCATCTTACAACAGGATTTATAGCAGTTTTTGTGCCATAGATAGGAAACAGATAAAGTTCTTCTATCAACCTTAAGCCATTTGTAATGAGCTATTTGGCAGATAGGATTAAAGGGGGGTAGGGCCCCAAGTAGCCCAAAGACCTCTGCTTTAAATTCCATGTTCCCATACATTAACGAATCTAAAGCATATGATAAGATAATGATCTTCTGCTTCAAATACTTTCTTTCTCAAAAACAACAGTGAGGCACTGATGTGTTACCCTCTATTTTTATCACTGATAAAGAATTGCAGGAGTTGGGAGTTCAGCTCAACCATTTAAAGTCTATGCATCTCAGCACTGTAACTTCTTGCAATTTATCCTAATTAAAGCTCCCAAAGTCTGTTTGAATAAGAAAATTCACTAGCCAGAAAGTGAACTTACCAACCTCAGAGCACTTTGCTTTTTGTAACACTGAAATCCTGTCACGTTAGGAAACATGCACAGCAGTAAGCAAAGCACTGATAAGAAATATCATACAGTTTAAAATATTTGATTCTAAACTACATTTTAAAAAAAAGTAAAACCAGAACTGCACTAAATATTTTGGCCCCATGTCTCATTCCCTCTTTAGACTATTTTGAATAGCTCAGGAGCAGTGCTATGAGATGGAGTAATGAAATAAGCAAGACCAGGATTGTAAAAAAGTGGCAATACCTTTTCCAGGCAAACTGACATAACTGAAAAATAGATGAGCGCTCAAGAAAACAAGATGTTTGTCAAATCTCCAAAATAAGTCTTTACAAATAGATAAATGGAATTGTTCTGATACCATGATGATAAATGTAGGAATACTCTAAACAAAACATAACTAGAAAATTTGAAGTTAAAGAGTGATTCATATCTCATGTAGGAAATTCATAATGCTATGTCTCAAGACATTGCTGCCTGGTTGAAAATCCATGGAGGGTTTCTCCCTTTTTAGCTTAAGAAAGAAACAACAGCAGTGATATTAATAAATTGGAAACCAGGAGGAGAGGAAAAAAAGCATTATCCAAATTTAATTTACTGTCTGAAAAGCATAAAACATTTAATAAACAGCTTACAGAATAAACTGAATTCTGGAGTGTTTTTCTAGTGCCAAATACAACCAAAGGACAACATGTTAAATAAAACTGAAATTGACTTGAATGATGTGACTGAATGGCAAATTTTGTCACTAACCAGATTAGAAAAATACCAATGAAATTCATATGAAAAATAATTTAAAAAAATCAACTGAGTTAGAAGTGAAGTTAAAAAACAATCTATAACAGTGGCATATGAATTAGAACAAAGCAAAAAAAAAGTACAAATGACTAAAGATGCAGATGCATGTTTTCGGTGGCAGTACTTCAAAAAAACATTTCTTGCAGTAATTGATTTGGGGCAGGGACTATTTTCTTTCAATGTTGTCAGTCAGCTTACTACAGAACACACACATCGGTATGGCTCAGCATTACAGAACTGACAGAGCTAGCAAGGTGGTCAGTCATTTGGAAGAAATAATAAAAATAATAATAAAAAGTCATATTAAGGGGGGATGAGTTGTCTCATTTTCCAAAATACTATAGGAAATGCAAAGACTGTATGTGCTGTCATGATTCCATCCAATTGCTCTTTCTAGAGATTAAGTACACACACTTGGATATAGTATTGCAGGCACAAGTAAGCTATATTTTGTATTAACTCTTAATACATGGTTCCTCTACTTGCAATCTAAAACTAAATTGGCCACATAACATTACAAATGTCTATTATGAACATGCAACGTCATTAACCCCACATTTTTACAACTCAGCTGCTATTTTCCAAGCATACTAAATTGATCTTGTCAAAGCTTATTTGTTTGTCCAGGCTACTTTGTTGTATGGGCCAATTGTGATCACCATCATGGCAGAATTGGCTTAATTTTGTCTCCAATAAACACCAAAATCATCTCCTGTATCCAGACTTAAGATGTCCCTTAGGCTCAAAGTGAACCACAGCCAATTGACATAGGTGCACTTTAACTTTTTTTTTTTTTTTTTTTTTGCTACTCAGCAGCTGAAGACTTGGTTAAAGGATTCAGCACCACGTGAATAACCCACTTGTGCACCACAGGAAAAGTGTTGTACAGATCAGAATTTAGTAATGTCTGATATTCAATACATACCTTGTATACATGTCAGCTGATCTTTACACTGATAAATATATTCTCTATGGTTCCTTCAGAATAGCTAAACTCAGTTATGTTGGTTATTCTCATCTCTTTTTGGACAAGTTTCTTCTCTAATTCTGTCTTCTATGATGTAAAATACACTGTTCTTCTCTGATTAAATGAATCTTTTTCTCCAAAATATGTTAATAACATTTTACAGCACAGAGTGGCTCCAGATGCCTATTATCAACTAAATCAAGTATCTGATTGGTTTAGAGGTTTCAAAAACATCCAAGGTCTACACAGGTTAATTCACATAGAGCTGAATTTTTCTGTCTCAATTCAGAAGTAGATGAGTATGAGCCACTTACAGTCCAAAGATATACAATTAGTAACAAGCAGTATGCATGTTATATACATCTAGAACTTGCCATATACAAACTTGTTCAGGACATTCACAGATAAAGAGGTACCTGAAGCTGTCAACAACTTTAGTAACTTCAGATCTGTTTCTGGCAAATGACACAAGGGAAAAAAGAAAAGATCTTATTTCCTGAGTAGCAACAGATAGGCTGAAATCAAATTACTGTATGTCTTTGTATCATTTAATCAATGAAAAGCATGCAATTTTTCAGGACAACCTTTTAAAAGCTATTCATGGACTTCTATCCAAAAAAGTATGCATGAGCAGATAATTATGACATATCAGTGTTTGGTAGGATGGATAAGCATTTGCAAAATAATGAAAAAAGAACATCAACATTCTACAAATAAATAACAATAAAATACTATGCATAACAAACAGTGTGCACCAACCTGTTTCCAGTCCAAAAATTTTATTTAAATATGCACTATAAATTACATATATTTAACTTATCTGAATGTATTATTCTGAAAAAAAAAGCATATAACAGTTCTATAAGCCTATGAACAGCTACTTTCTGAATAAGAATTGTGTGCTGTTTTTTTTTCTGTATTAGTCCTGTATCAACTGAATATTTACACATAAAACCTGAGGCATAAGTAAATCTTACCTCAGGGAATGGTAGCTTTGTACTCAAACAGAGAAACACTTAAATGTCTTAATGAAGCTGTGTCAACATGAAAGAGTATTTCAACACATTCAGAACTTAAACTATATTTGTATTTAAAATACTTTTCTAATTATATTTGTAAAAGATAGATGTACTCCTTTTCATAATGGGATGGTGGGATGTAGGGAACAAGGCTGGATGGAACAGCCTGGTGGCTGCAAGCATTTCACACAGCTCAGTATTGTGTAATACACTACACGTTACACATGGTGCTAAATTACAGGAAAAAGAAAGGAAGAGAACCTAATTATTTCTAAATTCCTGCTTGTCTTAACAAAACGTGTCATCACCTTGGGCAGCCAGATCTCTACAGTAACAGATGAATAATGACTGATAAATAATATATAATAATTAATAACAAAGATAAGCAAATTATTATACAGCCAGTCCATGGGTGTTTCTCTTCCCCCATTGAGACTGCAAAGTATTTTTTGATAAGCTGGCATTTACCTTGGACTAAAAGGACACACAAGGAATTATAGCACAAGACCTAACACGTGGTAAATTCAGAGACCAATTTACAACTCTACATACCCTTCACTTACACACATTTCACTACTATCACGGACTGCTTTTTCTTTTCTTTTCCATGAATAATACAATTATTTATATAAGTAATACCAACTAAATCATCTGAATGTAATCAACCAACAGGATATACAATTATTGACCCACGTTTCCAGATCCATAGCAGAAGTTTTCCTAGAACAAACTAAACTAATATAGTTCAATCCAGCAAAATTCTGAGGCCTCAATAGCATTGCCTCTAACAAGAGTTAAAGCCAAATCTTGTAAAGTTTCTTTATTATTAAAATTAATGAAGTTAGAGGATTCAGCCAAACATTGTTATGTATGATGTTTTCAAAAACTGCACATAATTCAGGATGCTCTGGTTCTTGTTTTCTGACCTCTGTAGGCTGTTCTCCAGCTCTTTCAAGATGATCTCATGGCGCTTTTCATTCTAAAGAAAAAAAGTAACACAACACAGCTTAGAAATAAAATACAAACCAAAATATTAATGTAATAGAATTACTACCTAAATTTTATAAGCCTTAGTTACTCAAACTTCTCAGGGGCTCTGAAAACATAAGGTCCTCAAAAGGGTCTCAAGACATAGAAGATTTATGTTCAATCAGAAACAAAATGAACATGTTTAAATAGGTTTATAATCCAAAAAAACCTTTTGCATTTGTTTTTAACTGTAAAATGGAAACAATTTGAAAATCTTTTATTTTCACACAGAATGATCAGCAGGAATATTCTGGCAAGTGACCTTTTTATTATCTAGGATTGGTGATTATTATCTATCTTCTTATTATCTAGGATTGGTGATTCTTAGAGTTTCTTTACCTCCAGTCATTGGCGTGAGCACTTAAAATGGAATAAGAAGCAAATAATGATTCAGAATTTAGAAATTGAAATATGCTGGTATTTTCATTCAAATTAGCAAATATATTAGCAAATAGCTTGAAGTAGAGCCATGTGCTAGAGATCCAATTTTGGATCAAATTTTTGCAGAGAGAAATAAATTGGGATCCAATCTCAAGTATGCTCAGACATCAGAAAAGGAATAACAGTGTACGTAACAGTAACTCTGCCTTGTAAGTGCTGGCATTGACCCCTTCCATATTGTTTCTTTTCCTTGTACCCTGGTATTATATTAAAGATGACCAGAACAGTTCTATGATAAAGGTACACACTATGTTGTACATTTTCAGGTTCTTTAAATCTCCAGGGCTTTAAACTTAGTTAAGGATTCCCAAATTACACTTGATTTCATAACAAGAATAGAAAAGATAAAGTTGAAATACACTGTTTCTACACCACCATACACATACTCTACTACCAAAAACTCCTGAAGTCCAAACCAAACTGGGATCACTGAACATAGGTGATAAGGGATAGGATTCAATAAAGAGGTGTTTTTTTTTTGTTTTTTTTTTGTTTTGTTTTGGTTTTTTTTTTGTTTGTTTGTTTGTTTGTTTTTTGTTTTTTTCTTTATATCTCTTTCAGGTGAACTACATTCTCACTGTTGTATGTCCCCCTCTCCTTCCCCTTCCCTCCCTCCCCCCCCCCCCCCCCCCCCAAAAAAAAAAAAAAAGCTATGAATGCCTAGTCTTAATACACCTCCTTAGGGCAAGGAACTTCATTTCTTTCTTAAAATTAAAGCAAAGATATTGTGGTAATTTGCTGGCTCAATATGATTAAATTTTATACCCCAATTCAACCTGAGTGTTCTTCTGGGACAGAAGGCAAGAAAATTTTCCTAATCTTCTACTTAATTTTAGCATAGTAAGAGATTACTATGAAAAAATATATATTTGAAATAATAATTTTAAATGTCTGACTTTGTTTTAACAACACTTTTATCTTTGGGCAAATGCAGACATTAAGTTACACTTGATGCAGATAAAAATTAAGCATATCAAACACGGAACTACATCTCTGATGCCGTATATGAATCCTGAATAGAATTTGCATTTAGGTTGGCTTAAGATTTTAGTCTTGAAAGCTTTAAGTCAGAATACATAATATTGTTTCTGAGAGTCTAGGAGTGTAGTAGTATCTTTTAGTGCCTTTTTACCACCATTTATATTTATTTTAAATAGCTTTGTACTTTATCATCACTGATTGCTGGACAAGTATTTAACTGTATTAAAACTTTGGTTGAAGAAATGATATACCACTGCCAGTGTAGGGAATTCAGGTGTGGCTGTCATTTTATTAAGAGACAATGAAAAGAGATTTCCAAGATTCATTAAAACAATAAGTAGCCCCCTATTCCAACCCAACACTTTTTTTGGTTTTCAGATAGTATTACCCATCCAAAATACCTATTCAGCAGAGCCACAGTTTAAGAAGATAAGTATCTGTATATCAAAGCCTACGCATTTAGAAGGCTGAAACTTTGAAAAACAAAACAAAACATCTCTTCTGTTACTAATTACATTTATGTGCAACATCAGTATGCAACTGAAAGTTTTGCACAAATTCCAGTAAGATCAGATTCTTTTACCAACTCAGGGTGGAAAAAGGTACCACTACATGGTTATGAAACTGTTATTCTATTACTCAAATCTAGTTATGCTTACTGAAGATGATTAATCTGAGAGAGAAATTAAAATTTCAGTCTTTTTTTTTTTTTTTTTTTTGATTTTGGCTTCCTGGGAAAACTGGATTGCATAAGAGACGTAAACTCAATGCTATTCCAGTTATTAAGATAAACTCAACAGATGCTTAGCCTATTAGAAATGTAAATATACAGACTATATTGTTAAGTTGAATTAATTTGCTGTTTCCTAAAATGCTTATCAATTCTATTAAAACAGTGGTTTTCAGTAAAAAAAACTTTATGGAAACAATGATGTCGTAAGTAATTTCTTAAGTCATAAACAGTATTGTTTACTCACATGGTGAAATCTGCAGAGAAGTTGTTTTTTCTCTTCTTGCCACTCTCTCAGTTCAGATTCAAGGAGTAGTATTTTTGTCTGAAGGGCTTGTTCTGTGTATGACAGTTTTTCAAATTCTTCAGCTACCTATTATAGTACAAGATAGAACATATTTACATTTACTTGCAGTTAAAGCCCAAACCAAACTGTTCTCTTGTTAACAGCTCTATTTCCCATTCCATTATCTAACACTTCAGCTATTTCCCATGCACAGAAACTACAAAAAACCTGGGAAGTACTCTGGCTGAATTTGAATAAAGTTTCAATTTGGAAAAAAAAATAATAATAATAATAATAATAAATATATATATATATACACACACAAACAAGTAACTAATAGTAACTAATTTGTAAGTGTACCCTAACTTGTTATTTTTTTCAGAACCAGATCTATATTCTCAGACAGTACTGAAAAATAGTATTGAGATAGTGTGTTTATCAACATAGAATCACTGAGGTTGGAAAAGACTTCTAAGACCATCAAGTCCAACTGTCAATATGAATAAGCCAAGATGGAAATTACAACCTCATGCCTATTTTCTGATTAAACTAATATAATACACTGCAATCTAAATTCCTACATTTCCTCTGCCATACTGTTCTCATCCTTTGTGTGAACAACAAATCTCTACTTAAAGGGTGCAAATTCTTCCTCTAAAATTAGAGAGACTTTAGCACCAAAGTTCTTGTGGACCGCAAAATTAATTGTGGAGGGCAGAATTAAGATTCTTTTCAGAAACCTCCTGCACTCTGTGAGATTTAAGTACATGTAGTTAAAGCACCTTGATTTGTCACAAAAATGATGGTGAAATGTTGGTTCACTGAACTTTGTCATTAATTTCAATACAATTTGTATTCCAGAAAGAAGTTGAATTGCATGATTCATATTTAAACAGCCAGAATTCCAAGTAAATTTTAACAATTATATGCAAATAATCTTTTCCCATCTTTTATTCCCTTGTTTTTAACACCATATGAAAGCAGAAAATAGTAAACAAAGCTAAGAGGTACACTAAATCAATACCATTTTTCTCCCTTCCTCCAAAGCAGATTCCAGTTGTCTTGTTAAATCATTATACTCTGCGGTTTTCTCTTCAAGCTGCAATTTACCGCACTGAAGACTCTCATCTTCTTTTTTGAGCTGATAAGCAAGTTCTTCATTTTGAAATTCTATCTTTTCTAATTTCCTTTAGGCAAAAGAGATTAATGTATTATAATTCATTACAGCAAACCAGTAAAAAAATTATTTACAGTCAGATTTTTTTTATTTTTATTTTTTAAAGAATTACCTCTTAAGATCTTCATATTTCTTCTGAATATTAAAGTTTTCTACTTCCAAGGAATGACTGTCTATGGAATTTATGTTGTCTTCCTCCTGTGAAAATGACAATTCCTTTCTAGTTGAAGAGACTTATATGCAGGATATTATAAAGTAAAGTAAACCTGCCTATTAAAATCCAGTCAAATTATTTAACTTCAATTTCAAGCACATCCTATCTTATACTCATGTAAGAACTATCATATATTTGAAACAAATAAAAATGCAGTCAAAGTAGCAGACTAAAACTTCATGTGAACACTTAAGACTGATAACCTGCTATGTAACAAAGTGAAATCCTAAGAAAACCCATATGCTGCCCATGCAGCGTTGTGTATTGAGAGCTGGCCAGGTCTATCTCCTCGTGAATTTTAACTCTTCAGCTTTAAATCCCAGCAAGAATAAATTCCCTCACTCTACAGTCACAGAAACCATAAAATATATATATATATATATATATATATATATACATATATATACACACACACACACACAAACACACAGTTACCTGTGAAGAACAGGGTAGCACTTACAAAGGATTTCAGAAAGTGGTAAATATTTATAATCAAAAAAGATAATCAAGTTCATGAAAAGAGGTATATCACTAGCAGGACATGGAAAAAAAGAAATAAGAAGCCAAACTGTTTTACCCCTACCCAGCATCCAGATTGACAGATTTTTGTTTTCTTTTAAATCCCATAACAGTAGCAGTGGGATTTTTGCTCCTGCTATCAACCATCAGCTTCAGATCAGCAGTAAATGGCCGTATCACCATTCTGCTGGCACCGTAGTATAACACAACCTCCATCATTCACTGGACTGCCTCAAGCAGTTCCATTCACTAACTTGAGCTAACCTGGCTGAATTTGCTGACATTAATTATATAGGCTGCTCTACTAGCAGACTGGGGGTAGAAGAAACCTTCAGCATAGGGGTAGTAAGTTGATTATCTTAAAAATATAATTTATGGCTATTTCTCTGTATGAATATTGTCTGGTTTATAAATGAGTCATTAAAAACAAAATGAATGTGGTATTAAATTACTCCACAAGATACAGATAATACTTAGATTTGACCATTTATTTCCAGGGAAGAATCCTGAAAGATTTCTCATAACTATGCAAAAGGTTCAAGAATATACTTATTTAAAAAATAGAAAATCTGAAAGTAAAGACAAGTAAGTAGGATTTCTTGTCACATACTGAACCCATATAAGTACTTCTGACAAAAGTTTCTGAGCTTTTGATTTATGAAGCAAACAAAGGAAACAGCTTAACAGGCACATGCACTAATAGAGGGGGAAAAAAAGTATTCCAGAGACTTTCACATTTTTTTGATTTATCTTTAAAAAATCACTGTGTTCTAGGCACCTGAACCTGTAGCTCCCTAGGATTTTTGCCTTTCTGTGCACTGATCCTTTCCCAGTACATAAGCTTTTCTTGAAATCCTTGCAGCTTTTCTTCAGCTGTATTCAGTATGTCACAAATATGTCCTAAATCCTTTAACTCAGCCTCTGTTTTGTCCTTCACCTGCATAATATCACAGTAAAAAAACTTAAGCGTGAAACCATAAATTAAGCATTATAAAACTTTATAGCTTTCCATGCAAGTAGTAAATCTGAAATTCTACACAGGTTGCATAAGGTCATCTATTTTATAAAAAACCAACAAAGTTACAAGTTCATGACTGGGGAAATTTCTGTCTCTGACTACATGTCATTAAAGACTCTGTAACACTGATAATGAACATTTACAAAATTATGCAAGTGTTAGCAGCTAATCATGCAACACCTAAATTTTTATTTTATTTTTATCATAATATATGTTGGAAGACGGCACGCAAACATACTAAACAGCTTATAGGAAAAATTCTGGCCATAAAAGTTTTGCAATGTTTGAAAAGCAGGCAACAACTAGTGCCATCTAAAGCTGCATACAGTGCTGCACAAATATTATTTATGGGATCAGAAAATATTTTTCTCCATTCTACAGCTGAATCATGGAAAAATAAAGTTAGTATGAAATAGAATGAACATTAGAGATGCTCCTCTGTGAGGACTAATTCAATTCTCTAAAATCAGGTCAATGCAAGACTTGTCCCTGCCCCACCTTTATTGCTTGAAAAGAAAATGTATTGTGATGAACAGTGGAACTCAGGAAAGTGATTTTCCTACCATGTGTTCCAGCATTCAGCTCTACCTGCTGAAAAAAAATTAAATCTCATCTCTGTATGGGTTCTCTTTTAACTACTATTTAAAATGAAGTTATGCTGCAGAGCAGTCTTACAGTGGGTTTTATTCTCTACACAACTTTCACAGATGTTCTGTCACGAGATCTAGTTTTTAAATCAACAAAATTGTATTTTTAACAGTGAAAAAATGAATTCTAAAATAGCAGCCCAAGCCTATAGTCATTTGTCTAAGAATCTTTTCCTACTTGTTTGCAATTATACATGTATAGTATGCAAAACACATCCACTCGCAAGTAACAGTCAGTACAACATTCAATGCATTTAAGTACAATTTTGTAGATGGAAAAAGGAAGACAGCCAGTACCTTGATACTACTACAGTAAGTGGATCGCTAACATATGAAGGATCGAAGTCCTGCACAATTGTTTGGGAGAATGCTGTAATACTGCAAAACTTACCTCATCTCTCTCTAAGCATTTGTTTTCTGTTATTCTTTTGTTTTTATTTAGGACTGTTTCATATCTGGATTTCAATCCTTCTACTTCCATTTATAATTTTTGTACCAATAACACAATATATTTATACCCACATATTTTATTTTTTTTTAAATCCAGAAAAGATAGAATTATTTGTATTGCTTCTGTCATTCCTATATTACAACAGCATTATAACCACCATGACAACAAATTTTTTGTTACAAATAAAAGCTTCATAATTTCCTCAAAACTACTTATAGATTTAAATCCTATATTTGAATGTTTCAATATGTTAGTCACCTGAGTTTTACACTGTTCAGCAAGGTTTTCCTGTAACTTTGCCTTTTCTTGCAGATCTAACACCTCATTTTCAAAGGAACTGGTACTGTTTTCCAATGTAGCAAGGGAAACCTTGATTAAAACATAGAAAAAAGCATTACAGTGCTGTAAAAATAACATAATATACAACATGATATTACTATCAAGTGACCTGCAGACATTAAAAGGAGTGGCAACTATTTATCCCATCAAACAAAAACATTAGTCCACAGTTCATTTATTAGCTTTAAGACTATTTACTTGGGAACATAAATATACTATAGAATCTGGAAACTTAAATTGAAATTAGTAATCAAGGTGAACTTAATTCTTATGTTTGCAAAACTTTATTTTTAATTTAAAGAAAATTTCTAGGTAAACAATTTTGTAGCTATTGACAGTAAAATAAATGGCATCCTGGTTAAACAGGATGATTAGAAAATCCTGTTCCTAACTTGATATCTACTATCCAGTAGATAAATTTTAAATGCCTCATTTCACTTGCTCTAAAAGAATGGGTGGCAAAATTATTCTACAAGTGTGGTATCTCTAGACAGAAGGGCAAAAGTGAACTAATATGTGTTTTTTTGTTTGTTTGTTTTTAATATATCAGAAATACAGAGCCATTCCTCAGTAATTTACAACCATCTCACCTTTAATTTTTCATTTTCAAGATAAATCTTTTCATTTTCAGAGTTAACAGAATTTAGCTTTCCAAGAATTTCCTCATTAGAGTTTCTTCTGTATTCCTCTTTTCTTTTCAGGTCTTCCAAAAGGCTTGTGACCTGCCTTGTTAGATAGGCAAGAACTTCTGCATAAGATATTTCCAAAATTCTCACTATGCAAATTAAACTGTACCTTAAGATACATTTCTTCATTGTTTTTCTTTATTACAAGAAAACAGAAAAAAAAAAAAAAAAAGGAAAATGGAAAATATGTTTAAATGTCTTAAAGATCTTAAGAAAGCAGTATCTATTGAAATAAGTTATTTTCCAAAAGAGATGTGACCCATCAATGAAGTGAAAATATGGCATATTCTGTATGTACATTGACTGGATAGTTTGAATAAGATTGGACAGTTTTGCCTTGCTTTTCCAAGGCAGAGTAAGCTGTTCAAATGTGTATTTGAGAGGAACCATCCACTAGTGTTGTGAGACGTTAATGCAACCAGAACAATTTTGCTACTCCTTTGTCCAGAGCAGAAACTGGAAGACTAAGTAAGAAGCTTCTATGCTGCAGCAGATGCAAGGGTTGATTCAAGCTGTTGAATCAGTTATTAAATGATTCTGAGGAAACAGAATAGTAGTCACTAGCAAACTCAGACTGTTAGCAAGAATGCCAGAGAAATAACATATTCCTTACTTCCACAGGAGAATGAATTTAAAAAAAAAAAAAAAGTAATAATTCTAGTTGCATTTCACATTTGTTCTAGTTTCCAAGTATAAAACTCTGCTCAAAAATTTACAATATCGACACATAAACTTGCTTACATTATCAACACTAATACACAACTAAATATCGAGTTTACAGAAACTATAAAATCAACAATCAACAGTTTAACTTACTTCTTAAGGTCTTCTGTTTGAATTTCTAACATTGTCTTTTCTTCTACTATTCTATCATGCTGATTTTTCCAGACATCAGAAGCTGAGAGTATTTCAGACAACTTGACTTCCTACATGAATCACATATCATGTAACAGAAGGGTGTCACAGAGAATGCCACCTCATTCTACAAAAACCACAAGAGCTATTTAATATAAGCTGGCACTACTGGAACTCCCTAGTACAGAACAACATTAATTTTGTCTTTTTGTCTCAAAACAAACAAAAAACCCTATCCCCATTTAAAGTTGCTTTCAAGGCAGCGAGATAGTCAAACACCGGTGCTGTATATCAACTTCAGAATATACCAGCATTTAAGATGAAAATATTTCCTTAAAACAAAAATATTTCTCCAATACATCCCTACTATATATAAATTACATTAGTAACAAAATAAAATTCTGCCAAAACATTTAAAGAATTTAAAAAACGATAGCATGATAAGAAATGCAATGTTATATAAAGTCCCTCAGAGAAGTATGGATCATTAACCAACACGTTATCTTAAAAGTACGTCTTCTACGGGCAAAGAAAACAATAGTATGACTGCAAAACATCACAAGTTTAGGAGTTAGACAAATGCCACTCCTCTGTACTACTACTATTACTGTCTTCTCACAGAGATCAAGGAAAACAAAAAACTATAACCATCTCCAGGTATACTAACTGGAAAGATACATCTTTAACACTGACGTATCCAGAATGATGGCGACGCACACAGGAGTATGAAAACACACGCTTATTTGGAAATCCAAATAGGTCAATAAAGATCTCAGCACAGTTTTGATCCACTTAGCCTTTTTGAAAAATTACATGCAGTACAGATATAAGGGACACGGAAGAATCCAAGGAACAATATAGATTAAGGAAGTTGTGTTTGGATTTTGAAAAAGTCTAGAGCAAGCAGCTTAGAAATAGAAAGCTAACTATCCCTATGGGATGCCCTAAACTAATAAAGATTTCAACCCCCAATTGAACTGCCAGCTACTGTACCATACTTCTGAGAATAGTCAGTGCATCTCCACAAAGGTCTAACAGAAAGATCAGTAAAAGTGTAATTGAAGCTGATCAGACTCCTCTCATTTACTACAGTTTGGAGCATACAACCTCATGGCTTAAGACATTCACTAATTTTTTAACAAACAAAGGCTGTGAATACACTAATAGTTTACAGGTCACTTATAGCAAATTTTTCCTTAACTGAAGAACAAAAAATAAGAGATGCAAACATAGCATGAACAAACAACTTTCCCATTTTCCAAAGGTAAAAATCTCCCAGATCTTCAGTTTAAAAGAACACAGTGCAACATTACTCACAGTATAGTCACTCACATGTTCTCTTATTCTGGAGGTTAAGTTTTTCACAGTTTCTTCAAAATGTGCAGCTTTTCGTTTCTGGGATGTGATTGCTTTTCTCAGACCAGTCTTCTCTTGCTCACTTGTTTCCCTTAAGGCTAATATCTGATGCTTGTATTCTCCAACTTGAAGATTGTACTCTGCTATTTTCTTTTCTAGAGTCTGCAGCATAATTAAACATCATATCTTCTCAAATTCTGTACCTTACAAATCAGCTTGTGAGATATCATAATGAGGAACATCAACTGCAATATTGATCTGTTTCTGTTAATGTCTCTGTATCTTGTAGTTGACACAAGGAGCTAGCCAAGGTGGGTACAGAAGTAGGCAAGAGAAAATACATGTTGGGAATCTCATTACGAAGATGAGCAAGAGAAAAGGTTGAGGACGAATAGAAACAAACAGGAGTAGCAGGAGAGACATCAATCTAACCATTGGCTGTGCTCTTGGCAATGAATGTAAAATTTCAATGTAGATGATGTGGCACAGCTATTAAACCCATTTATTGGATGGAAAATAAATGTGGTTATGTCATTCCCTTAATTCTATAAAGACTATCACCTTAATAATGTGATACATACTGATGTACTGGCAGTCAGTGCTCTGAACCTAAAGTCAGCATGTTCATATCTAGGACTGGAGATAAGTAACACTGCATATGAAATTTGAAAACAAAAGTTAAGATCTTGAATTTGTGTGGTTTATTTTTTTTATTTATTTTTGTTTGTTTCTTTTGTTGTTCCTTCTGTTTTAAATCAAGCTAGGAAAAGCCAAGGTCTATGATATGTTCTATTATTAGATGGCAATATACTATTTTCTTGCAAGATCTCTGAGTTTTCCCCCATGCATATAATGGCACCACTCTATTAATGAAACAAAATTGCATAGTAAGTAATTTTTTAAAAAAATCTAGCATTTTATATGTGATGAAGACTATCAAAGACAGTTTCAATATATAATTAAAACTGGCTATGACAAAGCTTAAACTAATGTAGGATATCACACATTGTATGGGCAATTTGTGACTCTCATTTCCCCTTGTTTGATTTCGCAGCCTTCATGTATTTTTCATCCATTTAATTACTTTATCAAATACACATGATTCAACTGAGATTAAATCTGGGTTCTACAACTATAATGATATGATCCTTTCTATTGTTGTTAATGTTTCTGACTAACCAGAAATGTCTGATGAACACAGTTTACTAATCCCATCCGATCTGGGAAACTGACCTCTCTAACTTCCTGACATCTATATTTTTCATCTACATATAAGCTTTCTATTTAAATATGAATAGAAAAGGAGACCAAACATTAAAACACTGTATGATGACATACAACAGAAGTCATATTGGACTCTGCTTCAAGAAGAATCTCAGACACATTATTTTTAAGTTACTATAATTTATTGAAAATATAAGCAAGCTAGCAGTAGACAATTAGTTTCATAAAGACACATGCAAGTTCCATTCATATCACTTATTATTCCTCCGGCAATATCAGTAGGCTACCAGTATAATTTTTTCCCCTAAAGTTATTGATAAACAACCCGATTGTAAGAATGGTCAGAAACATGCATTTAACATCTAATATTTAACTTGTGATCTACTTGAATGAGACCACAGTGACACACCATTTACCTAGTAACTATGCTACTTTGCTAGCCTCATTCATGACGCTATTTACCAATTGCTATAATGTGCACATAATATGCATAGGAGAGGATATCTCTCAGTGAAGGTGCTGCTGACAGCCCCAAAACTTATCCACAATCAATGCAAAATCTATGTAACTTGCAACGTGAAAGATGGCCTCAGCTTACTTGGACTTAACAAGATAAAAGTACAACTTCTAAAAATGAAATGATTAAAAAAGAAGAAGAAAAAAAAATATTCAGGAAATTTTTCAAATATAGGTGCTTAGGAGGTATTTAATAAACAAACACATGACCTGTGGGAAAAATGACTTCAACAAACAGCAAATGAACATTCTATATACAGGCTTCCTTAAAGCTGATAAAAGCAAACAACTGTTATCCCCTGTTATAACCACAGGGGGTCACAATCACACTAAAAATAGGTGGTTTGAGTATTTTTCAGTGGCTGAGGTAAATTTAAAGGGAGAATTAATTTCATAAGCGGTCCCAAACTCTTGTCTAGATGCTAATAAGATGATCACCAGCTAGCAACTGACTTCAGCACTTTTTGAAAAGCAAACAAATGAAACTTTTACATAAAGATCTAAAGAAAATACAGTTATATATCAAGTTACTTATTCAAGTATCACTGAAGGAAAATATTGTAGTTTTAATAACTACACTAGGCAGAACAAGAAAGCAATTTTTATTCAGAGGAAAATACGAGGTACCTATATAGACATAAATGTAAGTGGCTTTTTTTTTTCTTGCCATTGAGTTGCTATAGGTTCATTAACCAGCTCAAATGATACAATTTGTATGGAGCTGCATGCTATTAAAAAAAAAGCTTGTAAATTAATAATATACTGTTTTGGAAACAAGGCTTTCTCATTTATACCTACATTCTTTGCAAGCTTCAAATACTTAAATCAGAGACTACTTATAACTCCAGCCCCTGGCATGTGAACTTTTCCTTACCTAACTTTTCCACTAACTGCTGTAAATACCTAAATCTTCCTTTTGCTTGTTTTAATTTTTATTTTGAAGAAAGTGGAAAATATTTTATCTATCTTAAACAAAATGAGATTAGACCCACCATTTCTCTCTTAATCAGCATTAAGAGCTTTATTGAGTCTTCCACAGTTTATAAGAAGAAACAGGTGTGTTTCACACCTGTGTTTCATCTTAAACAGCTTACAAAAACAGACTCACTCTGAGGACTGGTCTCTTTCTTTCTGTTAACTATATGGAAACTGTTTCAGGATAGATATAATTCTCCCAGATAATAAAGTTAAGAGAGTATAAATACTTTTTTGTGTGCTTGACTTTTCTTCAGTGGAGTGTTTTTTTATTTTCTCAATGTGGACAAGTTAAGAAAATAAGAAAAAAAAAAGTAAATTTGCAATTAAAATAATACAATCAGACAGACTGTGCAAAATAAAAATGCTCTTTTTTTGTTGTTTCAAAATTTTCTTTTACCAAGGGTTTATTTCAAATGATACCCGAAATAAATAAATTAAAAAAATATTTGATTTGATAATATATCAATATATATTAAAAAAAAACAAAAACAAAAAAACTTGAAATCAAAGCAATATCTAAAAAAGATATAACTCTCAGTTGTGATTTAAACTCTGACTATGGTAGGGCTTTCTTAATTTACATATAAGCTTAAACACAAGTAAAAATATGTTACCTGTATTTTCAGTTTTAATTCCTCATTTTCCACACCTTTTCTTTGAATCTGACACTGCAGGTGAGCTTCTACCGTGCTTGCTGATCTTGACATGCGGTCTTCTTTCAGTACATTGATCTAATAAAGAGAAATAAACACAACTGAAAAGGAACAAGGGGATAGCATAGATGGATAATCTTTTATACTTTCAGATACTGGGCCCTCCAAGCTGTTCAGTATCAGGTAGAGTTCTAGTAAAGGCATGGTTTGCTGTGTAGACTCCATCTATGCTGACATTTGCTGTCATTATGGTCTTCAGAATTTTTATAGGACTTTCTTAGAAGTAAACAACCCTATTCAGCATTTATTCTCTTAAACAAAAGGATGTTTCTATGAAAACATGGTGCTTCACTTCCAGATAAATAAAAGGACGTGCCAGTGTCTTTGCCAAGTAAGGAAGTATTGTTCACTTGGCACCATGTGATATGGGACATCCCTTTGATCTGTATGTTTTATTTGCAATCACTTCATTTTCTTTTTTTTTTTTTTTTTTTGCTAAGAAATGTTTAAGCCTGTATCCAATTGAATACATTTAACCTTTATTATACTAGATAGCTACTTTTGGAAGCAAGGGATGGATACTAAACAAAAACAAACAAACAAACATAAAAACCTCCTAGGGTGTTCTGTTGCTTTTGAGGCAATATATTAGAATGAAGCAATAATGTGCAGGCAGTCCTAGTAGATTGGAACTCCAGGTTGTGTTTAGGGAACCTAGAACCTGCAGAATGCTTTCTCCAAGTCTGCATAAGGCTAGTGGGGAAAACTGTGTTGAGAAAATGCTGAGTTCTGCGAGGTAATTCTCTTGGTTGAGAGAAAAAAAAAAAGGAGAGAAGCCATGGATTTCAATAAACCCTAAGGAGCTACAAAAATCAAAGTACACCTTAAAGATTTAACTGGGACTACTCTATAACTCTGGGCGACCCTGCACTACATACACGTTAAGTGCAATTCAGGTATAAGACTACTGTAAAAGAGATTGCTAAACTGTGTATAAACCACACTAATCTTGAAATTGTTATTGTATCCTTGTATTGTCTACAGACAATTCTTTTAATCTTGTTTCTCCACTCAGCCCCTTCCTTTGCCTGGTTCAGAGAAGCGATGAGGTCTTTCCAGCCTTTGATGGTATCAGATCTGCTGTCTACACCACCCTTCCTTATTTGTTGAGTTCCAAAGGGCCATGGGTACTAACTGTGAAAGTATCAGTTTAGTTTATTCTGTATTACTTCACTGTAAAAGTTTGTTCCAGAACTTCTGCAAAAGAGAAGCCACAAAGGGGTCCAAAGCCATTAGTCTGGATTTATGATCCTCCCAGAACTGCAGGGCAATAGTGGTAAGGATGATCTATACTCTTAAGTAGGTGTGGATACGGTCTTGAAGGTTTGAATATATTTTTATATAGAAATGCCTTTCAGACTTCCTTTTTAATAATCTTTTGAAATAATTGCTCTTATCAAAACTTTAAATTTGTAAATAAAAATTTAGTACATTGGAAGAAAACATTTATTTCAAAATAATTGGTCACTCACTTTTTTAAACTGAAGCATTGATGAAAGTTCTTTGACATGTTTCTCCCTTTCAAGTATTTTTCTCCTGAGATTCTTCATGGGGAAAAAAATAACAAAAATTACTTTTCTATTTCTACACAAAAATGCAGCAGTAATGTGCACCAATAAGTATTTCAGTTGTAAAAATAACTGAGATTCCATTTTGTGATGATACACCACAAATACCTCAACTATGTACCTGAAAACATCTGATGAAGTTTAATATTTACTCTGACTGTATAGATCATAATAGGCACTAGGTTGATTAATTTCACTAAGATTTATTTTGAAACGTTTGCCACAATTTCCTCCAAATCAATTTGTTCTTAATATTTTCTTGTTTTATTGCTACACAGAGAAAAAACGTTGCTTAAAAACAAACAAAAAACAACACAATAGGCAGTAGGAAAAGTGATGGGGGGAGGAGGGCAAGAGAAGTGAAGATGAATACACAGAGCCGATATTTAGGCTTCTGTCCAAAGATCTTAGAAAACAAAAAGCTAATACAACATAACCATAGACCTAATAAGCATTTGTGAACAAAATCCAACTAACACATTTTTTTGAGTGGAGACCTCTTTTATTTTAGCTCTTAGGTCAGTATTTACCAGATTGAATGATCAAATAAAGAACAGTTTTAAAATATAAAAGATTGGGTTTTTTTTTAGTATTTTATTACTGGTTGGGTTGCTTGGAAATCACAGACTCTCACCTGCATTTCTGGTTATTCACTGTTTAACTTTGGACAAATTACATAGGGTATATATTGCAGGGGCGACCTTATTGCTCTTTACAGATACCTTAAAGGAGGCTGTAGCGAGGTGGGGGTTGGTCTATTCTCCCACGTGCCTGGTGACAGGATGAGGGGGAATGGGCTCAAGTTGCGCCAGGGGAGTTTTAGGTTGGATGTTAGGAAGAACTTCTTTACCGAAAGGGTTGTTAGACATTGGAACAGGCTGCCCAGTGAAGTGGTGGAGTCACCATCCCTGGAAGTCTTTAAAAGACGTTTAGATGTAGAGTTTAGGGATATGGTTTAGTGGGGACTGTTAGCGTTAGGTCAGAGGTTGGACTCGATGATCTTGAGGTCTCTTCCAACCTAGAAATTCTGTGATTCTGTATCTTGAGGGTTTCAGGTGATCAGATTGCAGACTACTCCTGAAAGTGGCAGTTCTGCTATTCTCTTTTCCCAAGCCACACGGGGCTACCTTTACCCTGGGAAAAACTCAAGTGAAAGGTCAGGAATGCAGCTGGGAGCATAGCAAGTAGAATTAACACTCTTGACGGCAGTGGAGTTTGATTTCCATAGGCAGACTGTAAAATTGCATGATCACAGCCTTCAGTGCTTTAAATTTCTTCATCTGTTACATTGGGCTAACACTTTATTCTAGTCTTAGCAAGAAAACATTAGTGTTCTCAAACAGGACACCTAGACTGACATATCTCTTTGTATTCTCTCTTCAGAATTCGGATATGCTTAATCTTTTCTTTAAAAAATTGGAAGTTACTTATGGAAGCAGTAGTTTGCATAAGTAGTCCACCTCCCTCTCCCCCAAAAAAGTAATAAGAAATACTTGTCTGAATTCAATATTTGAATTTTAGGGTTTTTGTTATTAGTATATTTCTTAATGTTGGTAAATGACAATAAATGAAATGGAATCGGGGATTTAAATGCTTCTTTCTTTTGCTTCAAAGCTGTGTTACTCAATCATCATGGCTACCTAGGTACTGTCAATTTGTATCAGAACCGGTTTATAAAGTGGTTTTTTTTTATTGTTTGTTTTTGTCTGTTTGTTTCTTTGTTTTGGTTTGTGTTTTTTTAGCAGTCATTTTGGTGGGAGCAAGAAAGAAAGAAGTTAAAGTTCACTATGTTACCTGCCTATTCATGTCAGAACAAAAGACAGGTTCTAGCTGAAAGACTATTGCATGAGGCAGAGCCAGTATGTGATTTTATGGCAGTATTTATTTCATTTGCAGTAACTGTAATGATTACTCTGAATCTACTCTACATAAATAAATAAATAAATAAATAAATAAAAATCAATGTGCAATGCATTCAATCCTGTAACAAAAGGAATACTAAAATGCACTGCATATCCTAAAATATGGAATAATATAGTGGTAGTTGTTCAGTGTTGCTAATTAATACAGTCTATATCAGTATAGTTCCTAAGCCCATCTTGCCACTTTAACACAAAATTGTATGATACTACAAAATAACCATTTTTAGGTGTACAAGGTAGAACAAAAGAAGAGGCAGAAATTTTAATTTACTTACAGCATTTTGGGTTTCATTTTCACTTAACTTCTGTATCAAAGTATCAATATTTTTGCTGCTTAACTGTAAGACGAAAGCAGGAAATATTAACAAATTACTTCAGATTATAAATGATTCTGCATTTTTCAATGGCTTTGAATCTCCTACACATAATTTGATATGTTTTTATTTTAGTGAGAAGCAGTCTAAATACCTTAAATATTTAAATCTTATTTGAATGTGTAGTCAAATAGTAAAAGCATTTGTACAAACCATAATATTTTAAAGACTAACATTACATGTTAAAGGCTTCTAGGAACTCCATTTAGGTATGAGAATGTGAAAATCAAAAAGGAAAACAAAGGCTGGGAAATCACAAAAAACAACCTATGTTAACTATTACTAAAAATCCAAAAGAATTTATGTAGTTATAACATGGTCAATGAAATGTTTACTTTAAAGTATCAGTTTTGGAGGAGGGCTAACTTTCAATCTGAAAACAAACAAACAAAACCACATAATCTGGTGGGATTTTCGGATTGTAAATCATGAACATTTTAATTTCACTGGTGAGAGGATGAACCTACTGTCTCCAAGAAGAAAAGGGTGAGTCAGCATCTTATCAAATCAAACCTGAACTCTGAACAACAATAAAGTAATGATCAGCACCATGGAATGTCCTGGAGCATGGATGTACCAGCTATTTAATTATTTGCCACAGCACAGTGACAGTCAAATTAAGTTAAATTTGGCATTCTAGTACCTGCTGTGCTAGCTCTGTAAACTGTATTGTGCTGGAACTACCTGTGCCCAACTAGCTCCTGCATCCTACCTGCCCAGTCACCTGAGGAGGAATCTGTGTCTTTAATCTTTCTGCATTCCCACTATTTTAAAGCATTTCCCTTTGCCTCCATAGTCCAGGTATTCAGAACCTGTCTTGCAATTTACAGGCACATGATCTCTGGCTCCCACAGGTTTGATTGCTTGAGATAATCTTACATGGTCATGTTCTCTTGTTTGAATTGAAAGCCATAACAATCTTTTTGTGGTTTTGAGTGTTTCTAATTCCTCTACCAGGAAATCCTCTTGTGTACCAGTAATTGTCATCTCTGATACAGAACGTTTACAAACCTGTTAAAACATCATAAACAAGAAGATATTATAGATAACTTACAGTATTTCCTCAAACATACATTATTAATATTCAAATTTGGCTTTAAAATACAGTCACTAAAAATTAATTAATGTTTGCAACTACACAGTAAACTAAAAGCAAAAATGCTGCTTCGGTAGTGTTTAAACTGTGTATGAGACATAGAGATTCATCTTCCAACCTAACAGAAATATGGTATGTTTATCAACTTTATTTTTTCTTTCTGATAAATGTTCCAAATCTCACTGTAAAGGAGTAAATCCAGTCAGAGTAGCTACAAGAAAAACAAAACAAAAACAAGTGGAAATTTTGGCATCAAAAGCTTTACTGGTAATCCATGCAAAGAAATCATCCTATCCTTATCTGCACATAATTATACAGAATGTTTCATGTTAATGTTCTTGGGAAAAGTTCAAATGGAACTCTGAGACAACAGTTTAAAGAGAGAAATTACTTAAAAAAAAAAAAAAAAAAAAAATTGAAAAAAATCCCCTCTATAGTTAGGCTGTGAATGTAAAAAAAAAAAAAAAAAGAGGCAGGATTTTAAAGACTATCTGTAAACAAGGTTTTTCACTGCATGCAAAATTAACAACATAAAGATAACAAATGCATTTATCTGAATTAATGAGCAAATAGTATCTCTCTTGTAAAAAAACTAGCAATGCTTGAAACATTCACCATCCATTTATGGCCCTCCAGGTTCAGGTTATACCTAACACAGGTTAAAATTGGAAAACTCACACCTCTTTGTGCTCTTTTGAGAAATCTTTCATATGGCCTCTGTAAATGTGGCAAGCATTTCAGAGATTAAAACTTAAGCTTTTCTAAATTAACAATTCTACATTGATAGAGACAAGATTAAAGCAATAACAATTTATTTTGAATGTGGCATTTAGAATGTATACGAACTTTTGACTAAAATATACTTACATTTTCTATTCTACTAATAACATCTTTTAAAATTGGCATAAAGTCCTCTGCTGAATTAATTTCCGTGTCTGTTTCAAAAACCTCCTGTAAAGCACCATTTTCACAAGGGGTGTTTTCCTTCTGCCTGACCACATGCAAAATAATAAATGCAAATTGACTTCTCTTAATAAGTAAATAAGCAAGACACATATGCCTAGTTCATACAGAATTCTACAACTGATTTTTTTTAATATGCATAGTAAAGTTGACAGGGTATGTACCTCATACTTTGGCTTCTCTACATCACTGTTTTCAAATACATATTTGAAATTATTTACTTTGTACTTACTACTCAAAAGAGCATTTGCCCTCTGCTGACAGATATTTTATGTTAAATGTGAAAAATTCAAAATAAAATATCTTGCACTGAAATCATATATTAGAAAATGCTAATAAAATACCCTCCTAACTATGACCGGTTTATGGTTTTCATTCATTTGCAGTATTGCAAGATTTTAACTGAAAACGCAGTGCCTCTGTAACCAAAAATAAATAAATAAATAAAATTAGTCTTTCTTCAGAAGGGCCTAATGTATTGGATTTATGTGGTAGGGCCCAGTAGCAGAGGTTGGTTGCAGGGGTGACTTCTGTGGGCAGAGCCCAGCAGCTGCCCCATGTCAGATCAGAGCCAGCTCCAAAAGGGATCTGCTGCTGGCCAGAGCTGAACAAGGGGGTGACACTGGTTGGGCATCTGAGAGCAGATTTAACAAAAGGGGAAAAAAACAAACAAACAAACAAACAAGCAAAAAAAAACAAAAAACAAAAAACGCTATGCAACAGCAGCTGGTAGAGAGGGGTAAGAACCAGCCCTGCAGCCCCCAAGGTCAGCGCAGAAGGAGGACAAGAGGTGCTCCAGGCACACAGCAGCAGTTCCCCTGTGACCTGTGGAGAAGCCCCTGGTGGAACAGGTTGTCCCCCTGCAGCCCATGGGTCCCACATGGAGAAGATCTCCACGCTGCAGCCTGTGCAGGAGCCCCCAGTGGAGTAGGGGATCTGGGGAGAGCTGCTGCCCATGGAGAACCCACATTGGAACAGTTTGCTCCTGACAGATGGACCCCATGGTACGGACCCATACTGGAGCAGTTCTTGAAGGCCTGCTGCCTGTGGGCAGCCCATGAGGGCTCAGTTCAGGAAGGATGGCATCCCATGGGAGGGACATGGAGCAGGGGCAGAGAGGGACCGTGAAGAAGCAGCTGAGAGGAAGCATTAGGGACTGACCGCAGCCCTCATTCCCCTGCACCGCACTGGGGGAGAATGTAGAAGAGGGTGTATTGGTGGAGAGGTGTTTTTACTTTGGTTTTAGTTTCTTACTGTTCTAATCTGCTAGTGATAGGTAATGAATTATATTAATCTCCCTATGCTGAGTCTGTTTTGCTTGTGACAATAATTGGTGAGTGATCTCCCCATCCTTTTCTCAACCCTTGAGCCCTTTCCATTGTATTTTCTCCACCTTCTCCTTCAAGGAGGGGGAGTGAGAGAGCAGCTGTAGTGGAGTTCAGCTGCCCACCAGGATAACACCACCACACCTACACAAAAAAAGAATATCCTAACACCAATCTATGCCAGCTCTCTATCTAGGCCTTCACAGGCCAGTACTTACAGACCTAATATACTCATAAGCTTCGAATGCTTAAGTAGCTTATAAATACATTCCTTATATCTTAACATTTTACCATGTATCTTTGCCTGAAGCACACCTTCTCAATGCACTTTCATTCAAACTTTGTTGTAGGTGATCTTTTGGTGACCTTTTTTTAAGCAGTGGTGACAGTTCTGTAATCTTGATCCAGTATTTATCAGGACATGGACCCCAACTCTTCTTCCAAATTTTCTCCTGTGTAGGCTCTGCAAGCTTATAAACAATGTATTCAGTTAGTTTAATCCATTCCTGACTACAATGCATAAGAATTGCTACCACAGAGTAAGTAAATTGTAAACACAAATGGTCATTTTATGACCTCTGAGTAATTAGTCAGAAAATTAAAGGGAATTTTTCAGTAAACTTCCAAGAACTGGGAGTGACTGGTCCTGAATTAATAATACCATTTTCCATTACTCCCATGGTTGTCTTTCTAACAGTTTGTCTATGAAACTACTTCCTCTGTAATGATCAATAAAAAGCCTCATGCTGTAGCCTCACAGCTAGCTCTCTGAAAACCTAAAGATCAAAAATAATGTATTTAAAATTAAAAATATATATATTGTTATATATGGAGTGGTAATTTGTGTCAGAAAAATGGTTGATATTAATAAAGACGGGGGAGATTTGGGAATGTGGCAATGGGGGTCAGAAAGCCTCCTGGTTGGTGATAACATCAGACTCTTAACGATGAGGTCATCAGGAATGTAAAGAGTTTAGAGGAAACAAAGATTGAGGCGACGCCCTGTCATCTGGGGTTGCTTGTTTTCCCCTCTGTTAAGGCACGGAAGTTGCTGTGGGGGGCTTGCTGGTTAGAACTGTTAACATTTATTGTTTAATATTATATGATAATAATATTATTAGTGTGGTTTCAAGGGTTAACGAAACGCGGGAAAAGCAATCACGTTTTGTTGCTTTCGGGAACCTTGTGGTGGGCAGAGCATGTGCAGAAGAAGAGGGAGACAGTCGAAGCTGCTCCTGCAGTCTGGAACAAAAGGTTGCTAATAGTGATGGGGAAACCGTGAGCCTTTCACCCACAACGACCACCACAAAGAGAATTATAATATGAAGCAGGGATGGGATATACATATGTATAGGCGTACTCGGGTTTTTTGTAAATATGTAACGGCAATGTCCTATATATATTTGGAAAGTTCGACGGTTGGGTGTGCGTGTTGGTAGAGCATAGACTCCCCGCGCACCCAGCACTGTTTACTTGCCTTTTATAAATATTATTTTATGTTACTAAATTCAGAGTGAGTTGAGACTTCATTTATAACGATATGTTCAGAATAAATACCCATCTGTTATCCTGCAAGAATAAAAGGTTATGACTTATGAAGGAGAACTAAGAAAGTTAGAAATGAAAGGTCACATTTAGCCCTTTGGATTCCTTCCAACTCTGCAGGAACTACTTTTGTGCACAGGACATAACAAAAGAAAAACAAACAAACAAACAAACAAACACAAAACCTTTCTCAAGTATGTCTAACAAAGAAAATGATAAGATTAAGTGTTGAAGACCTGCATAAGAAAATTATATTTGCATTGGCACTGTGTCTTACACATATTCTTACCTGGTGTTCAAGACAATCAGACTCTTTGCTGAGATCAGTAAAGTATTTTCCGCTTTGGATGGCATTTTTAGTTCTATAATAATCATCTTTATACAACTGAATCAGTGAACAGAGTTTTTCTGCTTCTCCAGATGTAATTGGTAGCACACACATTTTTCCCTGAAATATATTCATAATCATGTACTGTTTAGTATCACTGACTGTTAGAACACTCACCTTCCCAATTCAAGGCATATCAACAAAAAACAAGTCAGCTCTTCAGGCAAATTATTTAAAAGGAGTTTTAAAGACCAAAGAAATCTCACTTTCATTTATTGTTTTCAACAAGCGTACAATCCTGTGATACCATAGGATGTACCCTCAAACTGACAACTCACAAAACACGCCTTATCTATGAGGCAAAGGTAAACTCAGTGAATGCAGAGATATTACATGTCACAGCAGAGATCAGCCAATTTTGAGGCACAAACGGTTTTTCTCCTTTCCCAGTTTGGAAAAGCTCCTGGCTTGTAGCTGTACAGGAAAATGATGCTGCCCACACCATTGTAAGTCCAGATCAAAGTATCAGGGCCTACAGGCAAAAACAGCCTTCTGCCCTACTTCCTTGTCAAGCACCAGGAACTTCCCTTCATCTGTGCTTCACTAACTACCGATTATGTTTCACAAGTGGATCGCCTTTCCTTCTCTGTACTATGCCAGATAAATCCCCTCCTAAAGGATTCATCAGAATTAAGTTTATATTCTTCCATATGTATCTTCTTAGGAACATACTTGAGTGTAACAATATTTGGCGAGACTCCTAACTAAAAAAATCCCTTCCTCACAAAATCAGGATGTAGGCTGTTCTGCTTCCAGCTCTTGCTGTAAAGCAAATAACTATACTCCAATAGTTATTAAACACTCCAATGTGTTTTAAAAAAATACATACTTGCATTTCTTGTTTTATTACGTGCTTACATTTCGTGACAGAGCTCCATCTGTGTCACACAATCCAGGTTCTTACCTTTTTGTAAGTTATATAACCAAAAACAAGTTGTTGAATTTAATAGCTTCCGGTGAAAACAGCTTATTGGAAGATTAATTATAGAATTTATTTTATCCTAGCTCATCTATGTTTGCAGAAAAGAACAAATAAGATTTTTGCACAGTTTCAGTGAGCCATTTTTGCGTTCCCCACTCTCACCCATTTTCTGAAATATCCCCTACTTCCACCTGGAGCTTGGTACAGAATTTTTTTAAAAAAGTTTTGAAGCTTGGTAACAAAGCAAATATAAAATAAAAAAAGAAAAATCAAGCTTAACAGGAAGAGAATGAACTTGCCTCGTTAACATCAGCAAGAAAAAACTTTTCCTGAAGCTCAGAGTCCAAGAAAAGCGCAGCGCAGGTAGGTGCAGGTAGAGCAGAGGCTGCCTGAGGTGCTGATGACATGTTGGAGTGCTGGGGAGCAAGTCTGGGCGTCCTGACACCTGCTGCCGGTGTTCATCCGTCACTAGCTGAATTTGGGTATCCCTGGTCAGTCGCACTAGAAAATACCGTGTGAATACCTTCTGCACTGCAAGGAAGAAGCAGTCTCACGGGAGATGTAAGGCAATTAACGCATGAGAAAGCTCGGCCCCGCTCCCCTCACCTAGCACTGGGGTGCCCGCGGCTGCTGCCCCCCGGTGGGCTGCGTGTCCCCCGGCCCCCTCCCGTGGGCAGCGCCCCCTCAGCCCCCTTCAGCGCCGCCGCGGCCCGCTTGGGGCTGTTGCCGCGGCAACGGGCGGCGCGGCCTGCCCAGGGCGGGCGCCCCAGCCGCGAGAGCAAATGGGCTTTAAGCATTTACTTCTTCTGAACAGCTATAAAAACTTCCGTATATACATAAATTAAAATAAATAAATAAATAAAAAATCAAAGGCTATATTTCATCCTTTGTAGTGCTAGGAGAGATGAAACCACGCCATTATTCATTATGGATTGGCTGCCTGTTTATACCTGTGTCACAGGGTTTTGGGGCTTTGCGTGTGTAAAGCCTAGTGTTTTGTTCTTTACAGGAACCTTAGCTTTGAACTGTGAATTAATCACCTCCATTGTAGCTTTGCTTTGGCAAAGCAGTTTGTTAGCTCTGGCTAATATTCAGCTTAGACAGATTTGTAATTTTAGCTTCTCAGAACTTTCCAAGATAATTTTATTTTTAAAGCAATACAGTGTTGTAGTTATCTAAAATTGAGGTGACTGCTTATGTAATAAATATTATCGTCAAGGCTAATTACCCTGATAATTGACATCAGACTGTGTACCTCATGAACAAAGAAGTACAAGTTTCAGTCCTGAAAGCTGCATTTAGATGACCCTGTTGCACAATCCACAGAGTGGAAGATAATTAAAGGAAATATAACACACAATTCAGCTATCACATAATTGAAAGTCTTAATAAAAGAGGTATTCTAGAGAGAGGCTTCTTCAAATACTAAAGAAACTCTGCAGAGTGTCCCAGCTCATGACTTTATCTGCTTTAAAGGTATAACAGAACTTTTCGTTTCTGTGCCAGAAATTCAAGACTCCAAAGTCTGTCTTTGTTCATTGTTAAATTTTGGCAATAGCTTCTTATCACAAAAAGTCTCTATTTTCACTTCTTAGTCATGGAATTGGCTGCTTTGTAACTGCATATAATGTGTTTGCAATGCTGTGCTGGTGCTGCTACATCTTTATATTTCAGAGAAAGAGCTATCAACCTTTAAAAATAAATTAGACTACTGCTAATATTTTAATGTGGGGAGAGAACCAGGAAGAGGGAAAAAAAAAATACAAATAACAAATCTTATCCAGGAGAACGAGAAGTTATTGAAGAAAGAAATGTGCTTTCAGTTCCCCAGTCTTCATGGATTAATCAGTGCATTCATGACCCGGACTAATCTGTCATTTGCAAAGATACACTGCAAAATGTATGGAAACATTACTCAAGTTTCCATGCTCATATCAATAAACAGGACTGTAATAGTTCCCAAGTCCATAGTTAGCGCCCATGGGACCATAAATTGGCAATAAACAGTAATCAAATAACCTTATCATTGAGTAACCTGCATAGTCATACACTCTCTGATTCAAACGGAAGGTTTTGCTAACATTTCTGGAGAGAAACGAAGCTGTTATCCTGCATAATTCCTCCACTGCACCATCAGTGGGTGGATTTTTTTCTCTTGATATGCTGCTGCCCTGATTATAAAACCGTTCCTTCCCCACCCTTTTTATCCAACACAAGGTCTAAGACTGACCGTCTCTCCAAAAGGAAGAACTTGCCCTTCCTTTCTCTAGTCCAATCTTTAGACACTCACTGTCTTACACAGCAATATTTGTCCAGAAGAGATTACAACATTTCTTCCTGCTCTCTTCCGCAAAATAGGTGTGGTGGTTTTTGCTACTTTCCTCGCATGCCTGTCAATATCCCCCACTCCCTGATGTGTCATGCCAACTTCTCCAACATGTCAGCAGGGAAGTCCTTCACTTGGCAGTGCACGGGGTCATTGGCATCAGGGAGAGCTACCCATTGGGGTTATGATGCTTCAGGGTCCCAGTCAAGGACCCTTGTCTCTTTACATAGAAGACTTGGCAGAAGCAGTAGGTCATCTTCACTGCTCGTAGAGTAGCAGCAGGCATTTCTGCACCTGAAGAGCTGAAAGAAATATAAGGAAATTCCAAGGTACAGGGCAGTAACAGGGAGCGCTTTCTCCTTAACAATATTTTATGTGAAGGTCTGGGTGTCCTTCCTTTGGTGATCACTGATTTGGTGTTGATCTTGTTAGGTTTTGACTGAGAGGTGTTTGGGAACTTCTCACCCTACATGCAAGTTATACAGCAGCTATAGCAATGCAGAACTTCCCTTACTGCATGCATAAACCTGCCCAGATCAGAGTTCCCAGTCCTCTTTGATCCCCATAGACCCACCTGTACTGGTGCCACTCATTTCCATGTGAGTCACATCTAGCTCAGACAGACAGCTCAGCTACTTGCAGGAGACTTTGTATTGCCTAGAGAGGCAATAGTAGTTTTATTTCTCTTACTAACGAATCCTTAACTCCACATTCCTCAGTTTAGTCTTTCTCCCTGTGCAGTGCTACCCAGGGGGTGAGTATATGAGCCCTGTTTGCTCCTGTACGCATTTCCTGGGAAATTGCTGGCACCAGTTCCTAAATTGCTACAGATTCTTTCATATTCTGAAAAGTGCCTGGGGAGCAGGGAGAAGTCCCAGAACCAGGGCAGGTCCTACAGGAATCTGCTCAAGACTTGGGAAATGGGATGGAGAGCTTTAGGTTGAAAGAAAGCGAAGGGAACACCTTACAGTGGTGTTCCAGGCAGAAGGGCAGAAACAGCTGGGACAGCATTGTATTTTCAAAAAGCATTTTGTAATACGGTTCAGTTACAGTAATTCCTTTCCAGCACGCAGAGGTATACTCGGACATAAGTATAACTTCAGTTTTAAACAGGCTTGTAGAGCCCTTCACCTGGCCAACTTCTCTCTTACTATGAACAAGTAGTCCTGGAAATCCTAAAACTCTGCAAGTGCTGCGTGTGGAGGCAGAGGCCCTGCTGCACATGGGTAGGGCATGTGGTTGGCGTGGATACAGACAGTGCCTGCAGGGAAACAAGAAGCTGTTGAAAGCCAGCAATGTGGCGGGTCGGAGCCTAGTTGGAGGTCACACTTCACCCCTGTCAAAGCCATTCCCCCCACGTAGCAGCAGGGATCCCACGGCTCCGGCGTGGGTGGCGGGGCCACAGTGGGGGCCACACTGCTGCTGCTGGCGCTGGTGGCGGCAGGGGAGGCGGCGGCGGTGCTGCGGGACGGCGGCTACGAGGGACTGCTGGCTGCCGGAGGATGGCCGGCTCCTCGCCAGCCTGCAGGTAAGGCGGCGGCCCTTGGGGCAGCAGGCCCACGGCTGCCGTGGTCCCGTGCTGGTGGTCACTGCCCGGTGCCCCCCGGCCCCGGGGGAGAACAGTCCCGACGCATCCCTTTAGCTGCCACCAACCTCGACTGATCATGTTGCCGGTCTCCAGAGAGGCAGCCCTAGTGTTTATGTCATCCTCGACGGTGAATGAGTGCTTCTAAAGCGGCCCTGAGATGCCTGAATGCAAGGTCTTGCAGAAATGGGACGATGGGATGGTAGGATCGTTACACTGCCTTGATGAGATCGCTGAGCTCTTTTCTTTAATGTTTGCTGGCAAATGCCGTAGTCAGGACCGATCGCAGAGCGAACATGCTGCTTAATCCGTCAACCTGTTTTTTCCATTGCTTATTTGCCAGGACATGATCACTGAGGCTTCTTTGTATTTGTTCAATGCTACAAGAGGAAGGGTCTATTTCAGGAGCGTGAAGGTTCTGATACCTCCGACATGGAAGGACAAGAGTTATGAGAAACCAAAACACGAGACCTATGAAAAGGTAAGGCTCAACAGCTGATGCAGGGAATAGAGTGCACTAAAAAATCTTTTAAACATTTATTCATGTACCCACATGTACACTAACTTTTAAAAAGTGATGTGAACAACCATCCACATGCCCTTAAAACAGGCAAAATCGTGATCTAGGAACCATTGCTAGTAAAACCACAAGTAATGAGCATCAGTAACAACACAGAGCTGTACCATCCTTTTGGTTTTAAATGAGAAACAAGAGAGTCCTGAACTGCAAGAAGCTCTGAAAATCTGTCATAGTCCATAAACACAGTCCTTTGCAGATTGTTTAATTATTTTGAAAACCTGGCCGACAGCTGGACTGAATAACCTTAGTCTGAATATCCTGTCTGCTCTGAATATCCTTGTTGTTACTCAGTTTTGTTTCTCTGCTTGTTTTCGCATTTATGACAAGTCAAGGACCTCTGCTTGTGAGTTCCAGTGTTTTGCTTAGTTGTGTTTTTGGTTTGGTTGTTGTTTTTTTCCCTCTTGCTGTCTTAACCTATCATCCCTCTAATAACTCCTGGCTGGCAGTTGTGCTGATGACAGCAGCAATACCTGTCTAGGTGGAGTTTCAGACTTATTAGGGAAGGTCTGTCTCAAAAGCCAAGGAAATCCAAAAGAGCAAAGTCAGCTTGTTGCTACAGAGGTAGAAAAAGAAGCAAAGACTAGTTCATAATGGTTAGTTTTCTCCGTTTATTCCAAACTTTGTGTAGCTAGAATCCAGGAAATGGGATGCATGTTAATCTGTGTTTTAGCTACATGCATGGCCACTGGTACTTATGACCAACTCCACAAGTAAGAGATATTTGCAGCAGATATTACAATATATTTTCTCACTAGGTTGTGTAATAATATCAACAAATCCTCATGAAAATGTATTGGTAATTAGAAAGGAGACTTTCCACTTGAAAGACCCTTGGAAATTGGACCTGTCCTTGTGTTTATACCTGCAAAAACATGTAGATGTGGATTCTTCCTCACTTGCTGTTTTTAAATAAAAAGAAGCTAGCTCTATAAAAGATGTTCTATAGATTTGTAGGCATACTGTGGGTGGATACAGGAGACCTCAGCAAAAAAGTGCATAGAAATGTCTGTTTTGACTTTAAAGATGATCAGTCCCTTGATTTGATTAATTTAAGGCTGATATCATTGATATAAACTGAATAGCATATTTGGATTTTATATTCTAAATTAAATTAACATTGGAACTTGCAAAGAGGAATATTTTATGTTCCTTCTCTCTGTGATGTTTTCTGCCAAGAATTTTAAGCTAATACATGAAACAGCAGTACAGAAAGGAAAAGCATGGCTATGTGCAAGAAAAGAAACACCCCTTTCAAGATCACTGGGCTTCTGGTGAAAGGGCTTGCTTGGCTCTCTATTTTATTACTGTAGTCAGAAGCATTTTTTTCTAAGAAATGTGTCTAGTATGTAAAAAGCTTTAATAAAGGAATAAATACAGTAGTCTCCCACTTCAAGCTTCAATTATGCTGCTGGGAAAATCTGTCCATAATCTGCTGTTAGTCTTTCTGTGTCAGAAAGTAGTTCTGTTATGGGCTGGATAACATTAGATCATGTACAGAATATTACAGCAGAATATTTCTATCATTACTCGAGTTACTTTTTGTGTAATTTCAGGCAGATGTCATAGTGGCCAATCCTTATTGGAATTACGGTGATGATCCATACACCCTACAACATGAAGCATGTGGAAAAATGGGAAAATATATTCACTTCACACCTAACTTCCTAGTAAATGATTATTTGACGGACATCTATGGCTCATGGGGTAAATTCCTTAAACTATTTACTTCTCCAGCTTGCCGTAGCAGTGTAGAACAAAAGACAGAAGAATACTAAAAACTACATTGCATAACCCTTTCCTGTACGTTTCGTGCACATATCTCAGTAGCATGTGCTGCTGTGCAAAAACCTGTGCTAAGTGCATAAAGATAGCCTTTTGTTCCTAATCCCACACTAGTGTGGTTAATGGAAAATGAAGTTCTGGTTTGTTGAGGTTAGTTCCACTTCCAACATCAAATTTTTAATTACATTTTGATGCATGTTTTACTCTCCTGTAAGTGTATGTTAAAAAGCATTGCTGTTTTGTCATACACTCCTGGAGTCTGAATTCAAGCTCAAACAAATGATGACCAAAGAAGCCAATTTTAAGTGATGTAAAATCTAAGACTTTCAAATGATGTTATTTGAAGTTAGTCACACTTAGACACAGATGTAAATTGCTTGATATTAAAACTGCATACAGCTGATTGCTGCTGGAAAAGTGCTGCTCAGGAAGTCCCTGCTGTGGCGTTGCTGATTAGTTCTGCAGGCAGTGGCTGACTCCCATTACAACGTCTGCCTTTCTGTCCTCCCTGCAGGCAGAGCCTTTATGCATGAGTGGGCCCACCTTTGATGGGGGGTGTTTGATGAGTATGACACTGACAGACCTTTCTATGTCACCGAGAAGAATCAGGTTAAAGTTACAAGGTAATTCAGCATTTTTTCCTTCTGCAAGCCCTTTTTGGTGCACTTCAGGAAGCTGCCTGATGTTTTTCTATGAAGTCTTGAGGCATTCCTATTTCTTGTTTATGAATAGAGCACATGTCCTGGTCCCCAGTCCTGGTCCCCAGTCCTGGTCCCCAGTCCTGGTCCCAGTGGCATCCCAAGCAAGCTGCTCCAATACCTTTCCAGGGACACAGGTGAGACTGACTGACCTGCAGTTTCCCAGATCCATCAGAAAATTGTCCTCAACGCATATTAGGAACCGTTTGATTTGCTCGTGCCTGTTCGAATTGCTTACCCAGCAGATGTCTGGGTAATTGAAGTCCCCCATGTGGACCAGTGCTCGTGATTGTGAGGCTACTAGCAGCTGCTCGTAGAAGGCCTTGTCGACTTCCTCCTCCTGATCTGGAGACCTGTAGTAGACCCCCACCACCATGTCTCCTATACAAGCCCACCCTTTTTTTTTTTTTTTACTCACAAGCTCTCCACCTGTCCATCACTCTCCCCCAGCTGGAGCTGGGTACACTCTAATTGCTTCCTCGCATAAGGGCAACCCCACCCCCTTGCTTCCCCCGCCTGTCTCTCCTAAAGAGGATGTAGCCCTCCATGATTGTGTTCCAGTCATGTGAGCTGTCCCACCACGTCTCAGTGATCGCAACGAGATCGTGGCCCTGTGTCCGAACGCAGATCTAGAGCTCATCCTGTTTATTTCCCATGCTCCGTGCACAGGCCCTTTAGGGAAGCAGCAGGTACAGTTACCCTGGGAGGATGCAAGAAGAAGATACTGGACGGGGGATTGGGAACGCTACCTTCTCTGAGGAGCCCTCAGACAATCCTATGGGAGAGCTCAGAAGTTTTTCCCTGTCTTCAACAGTGACAGTGGTGTGAAATGTGTTCATCTGATCCGTGGCAGTATGGAACAATGCTAGGGCTGCATGGTATGAGGAATGTGACCTTCTCTCCTACAGACCCTTCTATAAGCACAAGTCTAAGAAAAACAGAGTGGTTAATGTACATGTATGTAGTTCTTGTACCTTGCAAAGGAATGTTTTAGCAATTCGATTTGTGTCAATAGAGAGCTTGAAGGGAAATGTATTTGTAGGCTTTTACTTGAAGTCTCTGATATCTGGGGGGGTTCAGAATAGCTGCTAACTATTATGACTATTGCATGGGACACTGTGCAAGTCTCTGGTATCTGGCCAGGAGACTAAGGAGATGGGGAGAGCTGAAGAACGACTAAAAGACAAAGTTTGCAGGGGATGCTGCACAAGTCTCTTACAGCCAAGCTGGACAAAGGAGAAGGACCAGAGGGAGGAAGACTATGAGCCTTCCGCATGAGAGACCCCCAGAGGGACCACCGGAGACTGTTACGCATGCTCCAGTAGGAGGGTTTGGATTCTGGAAACTAATTATAATAACCCTGTTTTTTTTAGAAGCAGTAATGAACATGTGTTAGCCTAGGAGCGTAAAAATCAGCTGCTTGATGTAACTGGTGTGCGTCTTGGTGGAGCAGAGATTCCCGGTGCACCCAGCACTGTTTGCTTACCTCTATTCCTTTAATAAATTGTAAACTTTGATTATAGTCCTATTTTGAAGACTGAGCCATTTATAAGAGTAGTGAGGACTTCGCCCAGCCCTTCTCTGTCACCTTTAGCTCCCCTCCCTTCCCCCATCAAACCTAGTTTAAAGCCCTGGTAATCAGCCCTGAGAGCTTGCTCCCCAGCACACTTGTGCCCCACTTGCCCAGTCCTGGTCCCCAGATTTTTGTGCCAGGAACATGATTCCACAGAGCCTTCAAGCCTTTCTGTAGCTTTAAAGATGCTGAAATGGTCCCTGGCTTAAGAAGAACTAGTTCCCCGCCTGGCACTACGAATCATTGCTTAGGGCTAAAAGCTGAGTCCCTTGTCTGTTACGTGAACAGCCAGGGAGACTCGGCCTCCCTTCTCTGTTGAGTTCGGTGCTGCCTAGCCTTAACATTTTCAGTACTCAGTAGCGTCCCCCAGGCTCTTGTATTTTGAGAGGGATTGCACTCCCCTTACATCATATGGGAATCCCAGTTTTCTGTCTCAAGGGTGAATGGTGTAAGGCACTTCTGAATCATTGCAGGTTGTCGTTGTTGTCCATTGCCGTGTAAATTAAGGTCATGCAAGTACCTTCTACCGTTTCTTCTTCCCTTTCATTTGTTGTCTGGTTTCTACCAAATATTAACATATTTGGTGAAATGCCTTAAAACAACATTACTTTCTAATTAACAACTGTTTTTTTTTATCTCTCTAGGTCTGCCAGTAGCTGACAGAGTAGAAAGGTGTGCCTCTCTTTTTTGTATAGAGTTAGAGGCAAGCCTGATATCCAGCCAAGATGGACAAAGGAGAAGGACAAAGACAAAGCCTGGGAGGAAGACTATGAGCCTTCAGCACGAGAGACCCCCAGAGGGACCACCGGGGACTGATATGCATGTGCCAGTGGGACGGTTCGGAATCCAGGAACTAATTATAATGACACTGCCTTTTCTAGAAGTAGTAATGAACATGTATTAGCCTAGGAGCAGAAAAAGCTGCCGCCTGATGTAACGTGTGTGCGTGTTGGAGGAGCCCAGACTCCCCGCGCACCCAGCGCTCTTTACTTGCCTTTTATTAACCCCATAAATAAATCTCATAAAGCTAAGTTGACTCGGAATTTGTAACAGTATGATGAAAAGTGTTGCACTCCAAGTTGGGAAGGGGAGAGGAAAATGCTCATGTATACGTGAGAATTGTACTCAAACACCTCATTACACCTTTGCATACACCTTTTAAGGGAAAACTTTAGACCCGAGAAGCAACAGGCAGTTTTCTACGTTTCTTGATATGATAACATGATATATGATATAGGTATGATATCATCCTTTGATATCATACCTATATCATATATCATGTTATCATATCAAGAGGATATCAAAAGGATGATATCATCCTTTGATATCATACCTGTAGTCTGCTGCAGGCTGAAAAGTAGCCTGTGCCTCAGGTACCGTTTTATGCCTTTGCTTGTGCTACTACATCCCTGTAAGCCTTCAAAAGAGAAATGAAATCACCCTACCAGAAGAAACACCGTCCAGAAGACACTTGAGTTTTTAGGGCCTGAATTCTCACTGAAACCAAAGGCAGGGATCTTACTGACCTGAGGAAAGAGGCTTTAATCTCTCCTGGCTTATTTACTCCTGAAGGAGCGTGAAAGAGATGCGTGTCCTTGTATGTGAAGAGGAGGTGAAGGAACAGCTAGTGCAAGGAACACACAAATCCGTTGCGCCAGACTAATAGGTGGCTGGCTCTGAGCTGGGAGACTGCAACAGAAACACAGAACTATCTAGGTTGGAAGAGACCTCCAAGATCATCGAGTCCAACCTCTGACCTAACACTAACCAGTCCTCCACTAAACCATATCACTGAGCTCTACATCTAAATGTCTTTTAAAGACACCCAGGGATGGTGATTCCACCACTTCCCTGAGCAGCCTGTTCCAATGTCTAACAACCCTCTTGGTAAAGAAGTTCTTCCTAAGATCCAACCTAAAACTCCCCTGGGGCAACTTTAGCCCATTCCCCCTCATCCTGTCACCAGGCACGTGGGAGAACAGACCAACCCCCACCTCGCTACAGCCTCCTTTAAGGTACCTGTAGAGAGCAATAAGGTCGCCCCGAGCCTCCTCTTCTCCAGGAGGAACAAGCGGCTCCCTCAGCCGCTCCTCGTGGGACTTGTTCTCCAGACCCCTCACCAGCTTCATTGCCCTTCTCTGGACTCGCTCAAGCACCTCGATGTCCTTCTTGTAGAGAGGGGCCCAAAACTGAACACAGTACTCGAGGTGCGGTCTCACCAGAGCCGAGTACAGGGGGACAATCACTTCCCTAGCCCTGCTGGCCACGCTGCTTCTTATACAAGCCAGGATGCCGTTGGCTTTCTCGGCCACCTGAGCACGCTGCTGGCTCATATTCAGCTGACTATCCACCAATACTGCCAGGTCCTTCTCTGCCAGGCAGCTTTCCAACCCTTCCTCTCCCAGTCTGTAGCTCTGCTTGGGGTTATTGCACCCCAGGTGCAGGACCCGGCACTTGGCCTTGTTGAACTTCATGCAGTTGACCTCAGCCCATCGGTGCAGCCTATCCAGATCCTCCTGCAGAGCCTTCCTACCCTTGAGCAGACTGACACACGCACCTAACTTGGTGTCATCTGCAAACTTACTGAGGGTACACTCAATGCCTTCATCCAGATCATCAATGAAGATATTAAAGAGGACCGGCCCCAGCACCGAGCCCTGGGGAATGCCACTGGTGACCGGCCTCCAACTGGATTTGACTCCATTCACCACGACTCTTTGGGCCCGGCTATCCAGCCAGTTTCTAACTCAATGAAGCATACGCCAGTCCAAGCCAAGAGCAGCCAGTTTCTTGAGGAGAATGCTGTGGGAGACGGTGTCAAAAGCCTTGCTGAAGTCAAGGTAGACCACATCCACAGCCTTTCCCTCATCCACCAAGCGCATCACTTTGTCATAGAAGGAGATCAGGTTCGTCAAGCAGGACCTGCCTTTCATAAACCCATGCTGACTGGGCCTGATCGCCTGCTTGCCCTGCAAGTGCTGCGTGATGACTCTCAAGATAATCTGCTCCATGAGCTTCCCTGGCACTGAGGTCAAACTGACAGGCCTATAGTTTCCCGGGTCTGCCCTCCAGCCCTTCATGTAGATGGGCGTCATGTTTGCTAGCCACCAGTCAACTGGGACATCCCCCGATAGCCAGGACTGCAGATAAATGATGGAAAGCGGCTTGGCCAGCTCCTCTGCCAGTTCTCTCAGTACCCTCGGGTGGATCCCATCCGGCCCCATCGACTTGTGCACATCCAAGTGCCATAGCAGGTCGCTAACCATTTATTCGTGGACAGTGAGGGCCACATCCTGCTCCCCATCCCCTTCCGCCAGCTCAGGGTACTGGGTATCCGGAGAACAACCAGTATTGCCGCTAAAGACTGAGGCAAAGAAGGCATTAAGCACCTCCGCCTTTTCCTCATCTTTTGTAACAACGTTTCCCCCCGCATCCAGTAAAGGATGGAGATTCTCCTTAATCCTCCGTTTTGCATTGATATATTTGTAAAAAGATTTTTTGTTGTCTTTAACGGCAGCAGCCAGGTTGAGCTCCAGATGAGCTTAGGCCTTTCTAATTTTGTCCCTGCACAGCCTCGTAACATCCTTATAGTCCTCCTCAGTGTCCCGCCCTTTTTTCCAAAGATTGTAAACCCTCTCTTTTCTCCTAAGCTCAGGCTGCAACTCTCTGTTGAGCCAGGCCGTTCTTCTTCCACACCGGCTCGTCTTTGGGCACGTGGGGCAGACCGCTCCTGCGCCATTAAGATTTCCCTCTTGAAGAGCGCCCAGCCTTCCTGGACTCCTCTGCCCTTCAGAACCGCCTCCCAAGGGACTCTACCAACCAGTGTCCTGAGCAGCTCAAAGTCAGTCCTCCGGAAGTCCAATACAGCGGTTTTACTGGTCCCCTTCCTGGCCTCGCCAAGAATAGAGAACTCCACCATTTCGTGGTCACTCTGCCCAAGACAGCTTCCGACCACCACATCTCCCACCAGTCCTTCTCTGTTTGTGAAGAGAAGGTCTAGCGGGGCGCCACCCCTGGTAGGCTCACTAACCAGCTGCATCAGGAAACTACCTTCCACAGAAACCTCCTAGACTGCTTTCTCTGCTAACTGCTTCCAGGTTATGTCAGGGAAGTTGAAGTCCTCCACGAGAACAAGCGCCGATGATTTTGCAACTTCTGTCAGTTGCCTGTAGAACTCCTCATCCGTCTCCTCATCCTGGTTCGGCGGTCTATAACAGACCCCGACCAGGACGCTAGCCTTGTTGGCCTTCCCGCTGATCTTAACCCAAAGGGACTCAACCTTGCCATTCCCAGCCTCGAGTTCCACAACATCGAAAGACTCTCTAATATAGAGAGCCAAACCACCACCCCTTCTGTGCTGCCTGTCCCTTCTGAAGAGCTTATAGCCAGGCATTGCAGCACTCCAGTCATGAGACTGGTCCTACCACGTCTCCGTGACGGCAACCAAGTCGTAGCCTGCCTGCTGCACGATGGCTTCCAGCTCCTCCTGTTTGTTACCCATGCTGCGTGCATTGGTGTAGATGCACTTCAGCTGGGCCATTGCCTTATCCCCCGGCCTTGCCATTGTTCCCCCTGGCACAGCTCCAACAAGCCTTGAGCGAATGAACGGCTGTGCGAACGGCTGCGTGGTGCTTAGCTGCCGGCTAGGGGAAACCATGACAACAGCAATGTAGTCATGTAACCAAATTGAAGCCAAAACTTTCAGCCCGGTCCTTGACCTGAACAGGGAGTGAGGATCCGTATCCTGGTATTTATACATGATAGTTTATGTGCAGCCAAAGTAAATACTGCAGTCGGAGGTCACGGTGCTAGATTTTTAAAAGTCCGGCATAAAGAAGAGATCTCAGAAAAGCAAATTTAAGCAACGTTAATGTCAAGCAAAGTCTGTCTGATTGCTATATTCTGTTGGGAATTGGCATAATTGTTCGATCTAACCTTGCTTTAAGCAACCAGGGGTAGGCCTTAGAAATCTCAGGGCCTGCTGTAGCTGAGCAAACCAAGCTGCCAGAGTAACTGTGAGAAGCTCCCACGGCAATGACTCCCACATCGCCCAATTAAGGAACTCAGAAAATATTGTTATCAGCAGCTGGCCTCAAGGACTAGGTCTACGCGACCGTTAAGCACAAAGGGGGTTGTTTTCCTAACTTCTAATCAAAAGGGGGGGTTCTTTTCTTGCAGGTGGTGTTATTTTCTTAACGGTTTGTCTGGGTGCTTTTGACCAATAATCTTGTCTGAAACACTGTCCACCCCTGTAAAATTCACTATAAAAGTTGGTCTATTCGGGCAATAAAATGGTGAAGCATGATCTGACTCTGCTGGTGTTACATCAAGCAGCTGATTTTTACGCTCCTAGACTAATACATATTCATTACTACTTCTAAAAAAATAGATTATTATAATTAGCTTCCGGGGTCCAGTTCCTCCTACTGGAACATGCGCATCAGTCTCCTCTGGGGGTCTCTAGGGGTCTTTCATGCTGAAGGCTCGTAGTCTTCCTCTCACCTCTGTACTCACTTGGCACAATTCCAAGTTTATAGAACACTTTCTGAAGGTCTTGTCTCCCAACCGTCCTTCAGCTTCTTTTTCCTTCCTCTTAATCTCTTGGCCCCCTGGCCAGATACCAAAGATCCATATAGTATCCCATAACAGTCACTAGTTGTTATCAGTTGTTCTGAAACTCCCAGACATCAAACACAAACAGCTTTCTTATTTGACGCTTCATGAGTAATTAAAACATTCTTCCCCAGCCATTCACAGACACATCTATAGCAGTGTTAAGTTAATCTCGAAGAAGACAGGAAAAAAGGCTGTAACTGTTAGAAATAGAAGTCCGGAATAACAAAAGCAAACAGGTTCATAAATTTAAGGAGTGTTTTCTGAAGACGCGATAAATTGACTAGAATGAAGAGGAGACTGGGACACACTGCATCTGTGGTTCAAGAATTAAATTGCTAGTGCAGGACCCAGAGGCAGACAGGATTCAAACAGAATTGTTCTTTATGGACACGAATTGTTAACACATTCCTCACAG